GACATATTTTGTATATATCTGAGACCTATAATATACTGATAAAAAACAGTATAATAGGGGACCTTTTGAAGGAGGCTGTGTATCCAGTGTTTTCATACAATGTCAAGAGCAACCAGGGACATTGACAGGATTCTGCCAAGATTCAGTCACTTTCCCTGTATTGTTTTTACTTCCAGGAATGATTACAAATCTTTCCATAGCATAAAAAGAGCCTGTCTGCATTCTGAGAGCTGTTTGTTGTTGCAGTGGTATGCTTAGAGCAGTTACTGGGAAACGTCTCTGGTTTCTGCAAGTTCAAAAATAGAATTGAGTGGCCACTAACAAAGCTGATAGAGCACAGAAGCATTCTTTGTCCTTGTGTGACTCCCTTCACTGTAAGGTGTGTGTGTGTGTGTGTGTGTGTGTGTGTTTAACTCCTGCCTGTGGTTTCAGGTGTACATTTGGGTGCTGAATGACGAGGAGGACTTCCAGAGGGCATTTGACTTGGGAGCCACAGGAGTTATGACAGATTTTCCCACCAGGCTTAAAGAATTCCTGGACCTGAATGGCATTTCTAAGCCCCCGGTGACCTGCCCCCTCATATGTGATTAACCTACAATCTGAGTCCTTGCTAACCAGCCCCCTCCTCAGTGTTTCGCAGTCAGGCTCTGCATACTGCACTGATCTGAGGAACCAGCTGTTGTACTGGTGACACAAACATTTAATTTCAATCATATAAAACACTTAATATTATTATCTACCTAGAGTTTTGTTCTACTTCTTTGCATATTTGGTGCAATTTACAAACAACACAATCTAAAGTTTATTTTAAATGGGACAAAATGCACATAAACTTCAGTTTTTGCAACTCTTATCACCCTTGAATTTCATAACAAACAATTTTATGCGTTACTAATGTCAAGATATAATTTCGCCTTTTTCCAGTCTTTCAAGTAAATGACAGTTTGCAGTAATATTTAATGTTAATTTAACAGCAGCTTTAGAATGTTTTTAGGCACAATGTATTTCTCCATGTTCCTATCAGACTGTTGATTACATGCAATATCCAAATTGTAAGTATTTGTTAGATAATTTTTACATGTGACCTGATGCAATCAAAAATGTGCTACTAGTCAAATAAAGACAAAATGGTGCAGTATGACTACTGAGTTGGGTCATGCCGCTGACCCTTATTTAAAATCCAAAGGCACAATCATTTTATCAGCGGACTGCTCTTTAAATAAAACTTTATATGTTGTTTTTTGTAATTGTGTTGTGTTTTAAGTGTAGTTCTCTAGTCTCCAGATTTTTCTCTGACCCATATTTGCACAAAACCGATTATCTCTTTTTGTAACTTTAATTAATGAGGATTGCCTTTTTCACCTGTGTTATTAAGATCGTAAACAGAATTGAACTTAATATATACATTTTTTATGTATGGGCTTTAAAGCATATTGTAAATATGGTAGATGTGATAAGTGTTGATTGATTTTTCTTTTTACACATAACATTTTAAATGTATTTAAGACAGCAGCTATTTACTGTGTGTGTCACAGTCAGAAAATCAAAGATGATTTGGGATTATTATAGCATTTAAGATTTCTAGTCCAAATGTGTGACCTCAGAGAGTGACGATCACTAAAGAATGTGGTTTTGGTTGAAAGTACTGTATATTGTTCAGTATTTAAAGTAAAAACATTATTGCTGCTTTATTTACTATATTGTTGGGTATTTTATGAGTGGTGGAAGTGAAATCTGCACATTGGTTTGTCTGATAGGAAAGATGTGTGATCTACCAATCAACAGATCTTACATTAATGAATATTTTTGATATATTTCTCCTGTGCTGTACTGAGGGAACATTTGTTGTGCATGCCTAAATGATTATTTGTTAATCTGCGTTGTGTTTGATTGTGTTTGTGGGACCTGGCTGCTTATCAAAATGCCTTATTCCACATGCCATTTGATTTAAAAAGTGATTGTTGAACATGTACATTTCTATCATGGTCAATAAAAACCAAAAATGATGTCATAAACTGAGTGGTGTGTGTAGTACAGGGCTTCTCAAACTCCGGACCAAGTTCCGGATCCGGACCAAACTGCAAATCAATCCGGACCGAACCCTGTGTACCATTATTAAAAAAATAATAATAATTTAAAATTAGAAAAAAAATAAAATAAAAAAATCTGAATCTGATGAAAATTAAAGTAGACCTATCATGCTATATTGGAAAAATATATTGTAGGGCCATACCTATACAAAACATGTCTGTAAAGTTTTGTGCTTAAAATACCAAACAGATCACCCATTGTAGCCATGCCTCATGCTCATCATACCCCTCTTTTGCAGCCCTGTTAGAGAAACCCGGATTTTGGGTCCTTAGCTTAAAAAAAAAAAAAAGAGGAGGCGGAGCTAATGCCTAATCAGAATTCTACCGAAGATAAAGTTAAATTCTGCTGTGATAAAACGCCATCCTGTTCTAAACCACATGAAAGATTATTTCTGAAACAGTATGGAGCTCAAATGCTTTTTCTCTTGCGTGGTTTATCACAAGGTGAGTTCCTTTTTTTATTTCCTGCTTTTTAAACACATGTGCTCTCCAGTACAGGTTAGCTCTGAGTGTTAGCGAAGCTTGCTAATGTAAACAAAGACGAGATTACGTCCAAAACACGTCAGACATTGTTTCTGATAGCATCTCTCTGTGGGTCCGCCGCCGATTTGACGTCAGATCGGCAGCAAATCTGTATCTGCTCGTTGTACCCCTGTTTTTAAAGGATTTGGGTACGGAGGAAAAGAGAGAGGGTTTTATTTTCTGACGCTGCGTGAGTTCCCCGACGCACCGGGGACACATATTTATGTATAAAAGACATCACAAAGTGCATTGTCTGACGCGTTGTGAGAATGAACGTGCATATATATTTACTTGTGTGCGCGAGTGTGACACGCATTGCAGACCGCAAGTTAACCGCAAGTTTACCTTGACTTTCTAATGCCATTTTTGCCGAGGTTCAAGGCATTGGCTACAGACAAACAGTGCCATTTCTCCCACTAGTTCAAGCTATCATACTGTATGTATGTATTGAATGTGTGTGTGTATACAGGGGCGCCGTTTACCGACAGGCAAGTGCTTGGACCAGAAGGGGGCCCCAT